ATAAATTCTAAAGAAAAATTGGCCCACCTATTATGAAAATTGAAAGACGTCAAATTATATTATAGCTAAAAAAAAAAAAAAAAAAAAGAAAAAACCTTTCCGCTTTTATATCTTGCCAAACAGTCAATATTATTGACTAAATTTCAATATTGAAAGCGATTTCCAAATCAATTTAATTTTTCTTCTTTGAGAGAGAGAAATTTAATTATGATGACTTTGAAATAAATCTTATCACTATTAATCTAACTTTCTTCGTTATTTTCTGCCGTAATTTGAATAAGTTCTACTAATAATTTCAAGAAACTTTTTATTGAGGTGATTTTTCTTTTCACATAAAACTTCATTCAAAACACTAATATGCCATTAAAGCTACATAAGTTTGAAAATCAGCTTCAACATAATCAAAAAGTCGACTAAGAGAATCGTTCAGCCAAAGATAAGACTCCCTACATTGAAAGAATTTCTAGCGGAACTATGGAGATCCTTATTTTATTCTCTACACACATGCTTGAAAGAAATTTCTTTAAACGATCTTGTCAAAAATTTCACATCCTCGAGTCAAGTGACTTCTTCACACTACCAATTAGTCTTGTCAATTAACATATTAATGACATGCAATGAATCAAATTCAACCTAAGCTACATTTCGAGGTATTTTTTCCTTTCGATTGACTGAAGTTCTTCCTGTTGTCGAATTAAATTCTTCAAACATAAGCAATAATCCTTATAGTTTGGTAAAGTTTCTATTTTTTGTTTCGTGTTTTTTATTTCTCGTTTCTTCCTTTTTAATAAACGAAAACATAATTATTTTTTGGTTAAAAAAATATATTTAGTCTCTATATTTTTGCTAAAGTAATGATTTTAGTCATGAGTTTGTAACAATTTAGTTCTTGTATTTTTAAATTAGTAACAATTTAGTCCTTATAGTTTAAAATTTGTAACAATTTAGTCTCTATCGTAAATTTTTTTTATTAAAATTAAGTCTTGATTTTTACCTTATAACGATTTAGTTTTTGTAATTTATAAACACAGTTGGTCTTTCATCAGTTTATTGATCTAAATGAATAAGAAATTTAACAAAATTTTTCATGATAGRGACTAAATCGTTACAAATTTAAAACTAATGAGATGAAATTGTTACATACTAGTTTGAGGACCAAATTGTTACAAATTTAAAAGTACATAAACTAAATCATTACAAGTTAAAGTTCAAGATTAAATCGTTACATCACCAAAAGTACAAGGACCAAAATATTTTTTAACCTTATTTTTTTTCTTATTCTTTCTATTTTTTTTTTTTGAGAAAAGAACAATAAATATGTTTGTTTTTCATTTTTTATTGCTCGTTCTCTAAAATCTTTTAAGTAAACAATTAATTTTTTTATGAAAATTTTAAAATAAATTTCAAAATTTGTATGTCATATTTGTTTTTTTCCTTAAATTTTTTTTATGTATTTTATAAATAGAAAATGATAAAATAATACTTTTATTTTTATTTATGTTGTGAAAAAAGTAGATACTGGATGACAAGAAACACAAATATGATTTCCAAAATTTCTAACACAATCATGTTGGAAACATTAGAAAAAAAAAACAAAAATAGTTATAGAATACTTAAGTTTCTACCGCTCTTTTTTAATTTTTCATGAGATCATAAATAAGTGACACATTTGAAAAAATATATAATTAATTTTTTAATAACTTTTTGACAACGCGAAATACAAACCTTTCACTGCATAAAGCTTTTGAAATTAACTTAAAAACTAATATTTAAAAAGTAAAAAATATTTCAATTTTTTTCAATATCGGAAACAATTCAAAAAATATATATAACAAAAATAGATTATTGATATTTATTATTAAGCCAAAACAGAGTGAGTAAGTTTGTAAAATGATGATACACGATGCAATAAATATTTTCAATTTTAAGCTAACTCAAAATCTCACTTTCTCACTTATTTATTATTATTTGTTTCAAGGAGGATGAGTGTGAAATAATATCTTTGTTGGGTTTGTAAGTAAATTGATTGCAAACGAAGTCCCACACTGATTACGGAAGGAAATGATCATGGGTATACAAGAGAGGATAATTATCTCCATTTGTGTGAGGCTTTTTGGATGGAACCAAAAGCAAAATTGTGAGGATTATGTCCAAAGCGGACAATATTCGAGAACTGTTGTCCTTAACAATCTTTCACCAGACTTTTGAATCGATGTTTACCACTCACACTAATTCGAAGATCATGAAAGAACTCATTTATGATTCTAACCGTGAGCAAATATTACACATATCACGGAAAGTCAATAACTTATTATATATATGTGATTGATATTTATGTATTACATGTATTACATCTTCATATTTATAACAATCTTGACATCAATATTTCTCTAATTATAAATATTTTTATAAATTATAAAATGGCTATTAAATTATTAGTTTGTAAATGTATAAATATTTGTTTTGATTTCATGACGTCCATTCTTGAAATGTTAAATTATCATACAACACAAAATAAATGAAGAAAAAAGAGTCTATGTATTAAAATATTAATATTAAATAAAACTCCCTCTTTATTATTCAAAATAAACCACGAAGAATTGTAACAGTTTACAGCAGTGACTCAATATAATTGGAAAAGTACTTGTTCCTTGCTCGTACCAAATTTTATCATTGCTACCATTAAAAAATTAGCGACTCATTATTTTTATTTAAAAATTTATGTTTTTGTTCTCGTCAAACATTTAATAATAGTGAGTACAATAGTGATCTGCACCGGAGCAAAGTATTTTCCATATAATTTATCCTCTAAAGTTTTCATGAAAGCTTTCTTCTTCTTCTTTTTTTGAAGTTAGATTATGTTATTAGTTTAAAGGGTCGGTGGCTTAATTACACTTTTTTTTAAGTTATGAAGTACCTTTGTTTGGACCTTGGAGTGTGCTTTCAAGATCCACATGGATTTTATTTCTTTAAATTAAACATCTCATCCACAACCATTTTAAGGTCATAATTCAATTGGTAAGATCATGATATTAAGTAACTTCTTATCAAGCATTCAAATTCTACGGTAATATTTTAAAATATATTAATACCTCGGTTAAATCATAAATTTAGACTCTATGATTGGAGCAATATTTCCATTTAGTCCATATAATTTTAAAAATTTCAATTTAGTTCTTATTGTTCAGGTTAATTATCTTCAATTTAGTCCTTATAATTTAGGCTTTGTTTCGATTCGGTCTTTATAGGTGGGTTAAATCTCACCCGCCATTCTTAAATTGTGTTTTACGTCCTTCCATTTTTTTTTAACTCAATCTTAAACTCTGATGCACTAAAATGCACAAAAATTAAGAGTTTTTCATTTTCTCACAAAGATAAACAAAATGATAGTTCAATAATTGTCACTCTTTTTCTGGCTTTTTAATAGAAAAAGACAAAAATATATTTAATAACTCTTCCTAATCTTTTTGTTCTCTAAAATTCTTAATTAGAAAATGGAAAGTCATACTTAAAAATACTTTTTCCAAATTAAAATATTCAAAACCTTTTATGTCATTTATAATCTTTTTTATATTTGTTATCCATGTTATAAGTGAAAAATGATACACTAATATATTTATTTATATTTTATAAAAAACTAGAAATAAACAATTAGAATTTTTTGTTCTAAAATTTATATATGGTTTTGGATATGTTCTTATAGCAAAAAAGAAATAGTAAATATTTACAAGATTATATTTCTCAAATAAGAAACAAAAACTTTATCAAATTCCCTTCAAAGTCCAAAATAATATACCTAAATTATATTACAGCAAGTTGGGGGGAATATTTAGGCAAAAAGTGGTCGTAAAAATTCCATGGAAATGGGGAGATGACTGGTTTCAAATTTGGGGACTTTTTTTTCCTTTTCTTTTTCTTTTCAATTTTAATTTTGGTATGAATCGCAGTCGCACCCCGCATTTGATTTTATTTATAGACCGTTTACTTTTTTTTTTCCTCTAATTTTGTTTGAATAAATTGATAAACTAAATTAAGTTATTAAAATTATGTTAATTATGGATTGTGCCAAGTTTGAATTTGGTCATGGTTTTAAAAGGGTGAATTTAGTCTCTCTAGRTTGGGATTAAGTTTGAATTTAGTCCTTATGATTTAAAATTAGTATCTCTTTACTCTTAATGGTTTCAAAAGCTTCAATTTGGTCTATAAGTTTAGTCAAACTTCATAAACAGTCTATATATCGTTATCACAGTGATAAATTTTTTCTTTCACGTAGCTGTTTTATATTTGAATAATTGTGGAGTTTAGTACATTAGAGTTTAGAATTGAGTTTTTTTTTTTTTTTAAGTTAGAGGTTCAAATAAATCTACGTCCAACATATATTAAGGAGTCTCCTCTGATAACATTAAATCAGATTGAGGACGTTATGATTTTGGAAAAGGTGTTTCGGGCACTAAATTTTGTTCATATTCTTCGTTCTTTGAACAAGCAAGCTTTTTTATTAATCAAGCGTGCCATTTTTTTATTGTTTATGTCTTTTGAGATAGATTCTAAATGTGGTGCGTAGTCACAACTTTTCTGATGTAACCTTTAATAATCACATTTTATAAAGTTTTTCTTTGATATTAGAAAAACAAAAAGAAGAAAAAATCTACACCCACGCATCCCACAACATAATTTTGTTGGTTGAAAGAAAAAAAAGGAAGATTTCAATGTAGAAATACAATTTACGTACCTCTCATTTTATTATTGTAGTACGACGATCATTATTACGCCGAAGAAAAAAAAAAGTCCGTCCTTTTTAAACCAGCCCACAACCACAACCCTTTTTTTAATTTTTTTCTTATGAGTTTTAGCGTTGAAAACGTGTATTTAATTTGCCAAAAACAAAACCCAGTTTTTCCAAAAAAAAAAAAATGAAATTGGGAAAAAAAATCTCAGAATCTCAATTATAAAAACCCCCAACTTTGTGATTTTATTACCCACAATTCAAATATAATCCTTCCTCTTAATTAATTTGTTCGTGAAATCAAATCGTCGCCACCAACCACACCATGCCTTGCCTTTACATCTCCACCAACGTCGACTTGGCCGGAGCCGACACCGCCGCCATCTTCTCCGCCACCACCACCGCCGTCTCCTCCATTATCGGCAAACCCGAAAACGTAACACCCTCTCTCCTCTCCTCCTCCTTCCTCCCAGACAAATACCTAAAGGCTTGAACAGATGGATTTGATAAATTTAATTYGTATATTGGATATCTAACTTTTTGTTTTGTYTGCGTYCAGTTTGTGATGGTGTTGCTGAAAGGGTCGGTGGCGATATCGTTCGGAGGGAACGGGGAGCCGGCGGCGTTCGCGGAGGTGGTGTCCATGGGGGGAATAAACTCGCAGGTGAAGAGGAACCTGATCTCCACCATTGCCGCTATTTTGAACGATAAACTTTCGGTTCCGCCGGCGAGATTCTTCCTTAAAGTCCACGACACCACCGCTGGTCGACCCATTTCCAAATTATGACTCCTCCGGCCACGGCGACTGCGACGGCTGCCATTGTACCGGTTTTTATATTATTAGTTTGACTTTTTTTAATTATTATTTTTTTTTTGTCGTGACAGTTAATTGGAGTTGTGTAGTTGAAAAATAATTCAAACGCCTATGATGGCTATGACTATGAAAATGTGAGAGAGAAAAGAAGAAAGAGTCCTCTTTATCGCTTTTGTATTTGATGGGTTATAAAATTAATATAACCATATATACATATTTTGAATATAACAAATATCGTGCGGATTGAATTCAGATTCACAACTTAGAATTAGTTTCCTTTTAATAATTAGTTATTGTTTTTGGCTAATAATATAACGAAATCTAGCCTTTAATATGTGCTTTTGTCTTTTTGTGTTACTGGATTATTTAATTTGAATTTTAATATTTATTTTAATTATCATATTTTCAAAGTAGTCTGGTATTTTTTTAAGTGTTTAGTTTTTTTCTTTTATTTGAAAATTTTTAACACAAATTTTATACATGGTGGAAACCTTTTAATGTAAATTTGTGGCTACATTTCAAAAAAAAATTTATTGAGTGAATTGCTATGTTAAATCTATGTTTGAAAGAAATAAAATAAAAATGAAAATAAAATGATGAAATTGTCATTTTTTAAAAGTATAAAGACTGAAATGGATGTTTCGAAAATACAGGGATCAAAATAAACAAAAATCGAAATGATAAGGATCAAAATATTACTTGAACCTTTATTTTTATAATAGTAAAAATAATAATTAATGTAAGAGGGAAAAATTATAAAATTTGTATTTATAGCTGAATTTTATCTTTCTGATCTTTATTTTTTTAATTCTACTATGTGTTAATTGTTTTTTTTTTCTTTTTGACTTAATTTTTCTTGAAACATAACCCAACAGTGAAAATGTATATGTTGATGTCGGCTTCTGCCGACTTACCAATGTCAGTCACATAGCAATTGGACGAGCTGACGAGGCGCAACGTACCTTAAGCAAGATAAGATTTTTAAAAAGAAAACAGACGCTTCGACGCTTAAGTCAGTAAGATGTGAGTTCAAGTGGGTCATTCTCGAAGCAGAATTGTGTACCTAGGTTGGAGGAACAAGGTCCTTTTATAGGTAGAGTGAAGGATCATGTCCGTTATGGTCATTACGACAAGACGGTTGGATGGTTATGGATTGTCGAACCATAGGTAAGCAATGACTGAGGTCAGCTATTTATCCTTTCATATGGATGAGCTTAATAGCTCGATCGTGGATGAGCTTAGGAGCTCAGCCATGGATGAGCTTAAGAACTCGGTAGTAGATGAGTTTAGTAGCGGCCATAGTTGAGCTTAGGAGCTTGACGGTAGGTGAGCATAGTAGATCAGCGGTAGATGAGATTAGGAGCTTGACGGTAGGTGAGCATGGTAGATCGACAGTAGATCAGCTTAGGAGCTCGATGGTAGATAAATTTAGTAGCTCGGTCATATCTCAATCATGTGGTAGTTCTAAAATCTATTGATTTGTACTTGATTTTGATTCGAGCTGTATAGTTTTAAAAATCTTTTTAATTTACTTCTTATAATATGGTTAAATTTTGCAAAAGATTATTTGTTGGTAGTATCTGGTTAACACTACCTTGATCTTATTGGCAAGTTTGGCAAATTTTGGTCGATTGCATTAGTGCTAATTGGATTAGAGCTTAATAGGTATAAAGTAGAGAGATTAACGAGCTAAATTAGTTAAAACCAATCTAATTTTTGCATGTACTAATGTTAGCTCATCATTATTCTAATCTAAGAAAAACATATGACAGACAAGAAAATTATTTACATAATTACATTTAATAATGATATGGAAAAATTTAGAGATTTAACTAAATTATTGATACCAAATTGAAAATTTTACCATATAAAGAGAAATTACATTATACAAGCAGCTATTCTTAAAAAAAAAAAAAACTATAATTTTGATATTCACTGTGCATAAAAATTGATTGGTAATGACAAAATGTATTAACAAAAGGTAAAATAAGTATTATCTAAGATTTTGAAAAACATTTTATTTTTGTGATATGTAATTGTTAAATGTTTCAATTAAGGCATTAAAATATTTCATTGTTTTCTTTTTAAAAACAATTCTTTTGGTTTTCGTAAAAACGGGAGTGAGATCTAAAACTTTTTGATAAAAATTTTTGAGCTTGTTCTTCGATTCCATTTGGTTTCGGTGAGTGGACACATGAGTTTGAAGTTGTGCTAATCTTAAGAAACAATATCGATGTAAATTAATAATCATACCGAAATTGCTTTGAAGACAGTACATTATCCACGACACAACCAATCATTTTCCTCTAAATTATTCTCCCCGCAAAGATGAACATGAGAATTTCAAAATATATAACCTTAGAAAATAAAGGATCAAGATAAAGAAATTGGAACATGTTCGATAGGGGCAATTGAAAAGATGGGTTATAAATGGCCAATCCATCTTATCATATTTATTAAATAGTAACATAGATCCTACCCAAAAAAAAGTTGAACTTTATGATTAGACTTAAAAAAGCATTTTTTGCTTTCTTGCCGTCCTTTTTTAAAAATTTTCTAGCTGGCTACTTGAGAAATACCAAAAAAATGGGACATATTTTATAAACGTGTGAAAGCCTCAATGTCAAACATTATTTGAGCAAAACATTATGGATATATATAGGTGCTATCTATTAAAATATATTATTATAGAAAGTGGCCCAATTAGTAGTTGTCTAAACAATTGCGGCAATGAGTCAATGACCCAAAAAAAATAATAATAATAAATAAATAACATGAGAAACTAAATTTAAATTTAATTAAGAGAGATAAATATCCTTTATTTATTTTAAAATTTAAAAAATAATATATAAAATAATAAAACTATTTCGTTTTTAAAAATTATACTTTGTTTTGGTACAATTTCATTAATAAGTTTTTCACACCTCTATTGAAAACATATTTGAATTCTTTGTCGGATTTTAAAAATTAATTTCTTTCCATGAATTATTTGAAATTTTGAAATTGTTTGAATTTTATATATTAAAGATGAAATGGTTATAAAATGAGACCTAATTATTCGAAAGTTTTTAGAARGAGAAGATCGTATGCATATGTAAAACATATAAGTTAAATTCTTATGGATGGAGAGTTAGTTTGTGAGTGTTTTGTAAAAATTTAAATGGGTAACAATCTAGTCTCAATCATTTAAAATTTATAACGATTTAATCCGTAAGTTTGTTTGTTAAGATTTAATAAAGTTTCTTATATATGGTAGATGAGAGACAAAATGTGTTTATAAATTATAAAAATATAATCATCATAGGATAAAAATCGAAATTTAATTTTATAACTAAATTGTCACCCATTTAAAAGTATAAGTACTAAATTGTGATAAATTAAAATTTAGATTGAATTGTTATTACAATGAAAGTAGATAGACGGAAGGTGTTTTTTAACCATCATTTTACTCAATTACTCTTTCTTTTATAGATTTCTTATCATTCCATAATTTATATTTATTCAAAAAATAAAGAATAATACTAACCCTACTTTTAATTTAATATGTAAAATATATAAATAGATCAGAAAAATGCAATCGTTTTTAAGCCATTCAAACCAATTATCACATAATTGAGATAAATATTATATTGAGCCGATTTATCATCTACCTAAAATCATTTTGATGTAGATAAAACTTACCATCCAAATTTTAAAATGTATTTTTAAGCCATTCAAACCAATTAATTGTCACATAATTGAGAGGGCTCAATGGACCACAAAACAAAAATCTAATGAAGACTCTATGATGACAGAAAATCATCAAGTTGCGAATGTTGACTTGGATTGATGGCTGATCGGATAGACAGGTTGGAACTTGCTGGACAGGAGACCTGCAAGACAGAAAACACTACAACGTCCTTGTCAGAAAAAATCCAAACTGTATTGAGAGAAAATACATTGTGAGTGTACTTGGATAGAGGTAAATGGTCTCCATTGATAGGCGAGGTCCCTGACAACTTTCCCGACAGAACCTCTAACAGCTCTTTAAGATAATCGTGAATCACGACGTGCTGTCGTGAAATATGTCGGAATAGGGAGTTGAGCAAAATGAGTTCGGGATGGTCCATCCGAATAATGGGGACGGGACTCAAGGAAATCCTGGTCGGCTTGATAGTAAAGATAGGTACCGAGATGGTAAAACTTGTCTTTATTGTGCCAATGTCACGAAATTTTCCTTCCAACCACCCGCAAGATTACTATTATTATGGAACCTCCACTACTCCTCTCCCACGTGCTTCCCCGAGATTCCCGTTTATATTTCTTTAATATTCTCCTCTCTAGTGCCAAATAAATAAATAAATAAATAAAAACCCTCAATCTTTGGCACGTGCTTTGTTTTCTTTTGCGGTGATATTTGGTACAATATAGCTATTTTTATTGTAACTATCATATATAGTTTTCAATGGGATCATTATTCTTTGTTGATTTTGTTTGGCAATTAAATATTTTTGGTGCAGTAGGTACAATGTGTAGAGTATATGGTTCAAGTCCAAGGTACTCATGGAATGTTGATTGAATTCTTTGACATATTAATTTAGACCAAAAAACAAGGAAACGAAGCCTTTTAACATGTTCGACCCAATTCCACAATTTGCTTGAGCTAATTGTGATTTGATTTTTTTTTTTAATAATTCTTCAATTTGATTGGGACTCAACGACTAAGTCGTGAACCATTTTTCAACTAAAAAAAGTACTTGGCCACTTGAAATAAAAAGAAGGTTAAATCTTTTTTTCAAATTATTTTGCCCACTTTGTACGCTAACAATAATGACTCTAGGGTGTTTTAGTCATTTAGACTCTCGAAACTTAGGTAAAGGACAATTTGACCTTCATAGCCAAGTGCAACCATTTACAAAATAGTTCATATATATATATATATATATATAAATAAGATTTTTTTTTAGTTCGATCGAAAGGTGAGAATGAGAGATTGAACTTCTCCAACTTCTAAGAGAAGAGTAAGATATTTTAACCACTTTACTAAGTTTACATTGACAAAAAAAATATTGGTTTAATCGACTGAATTTAAAAGAGTAAGTTCCTTATTATTATCAAATTATTATACATTAATCTATTTTTAAATCATTAGGTTATTTAAAGATGATGTAGTAATTTCATTTAGTATTTATAGTTTTCCTTTTATTATGGATACAAAGAAATTCATAGAAAATAAAGGATGACCAGTTCCACTTTGAATCTATCCATCTTTTGTAACTCAGTGTATATAGAAAGGAATGTAATCCAAACTTTCTCTTGCTGCCCATGAACTTGTGGATTTGTATTTAATTAATAGTAAAATAATTTAGATAATTGCACTCAATATAAATTCTATGCTAATCTATAATGCATATTTTAAATTAATTAGATTGTAGTAGTTGAATTGTTCTTATAGATATAGCTAGAACCCAGAGGGAGCAGTTCGGTAAGAAACCTTTTGAACAATTTAAAAAGTTTTTTTTTCTTTGTTTGAATTAGAATGTTTTGGGTTAGGTAATGTAAGTCTTTTTTTTTTTAAAGTCACAATTTTATGGAAATGATAGTATAAATTTTCTTTACATTTCTTTCTCTTTTCTACTCGATTCATATTTTTGATAAATTTATTTTAAATTTCGAAGTACTTTCTTGGTTTTCAAATTATTTTGTAAATTTATTGGCCATGAATGGGAATGAAGGAATGAAAATTATTATTATTTTTTTTATGAATATTTACCAAATTGTTGGAATTAGAATCAAATGATGGACCACCCACTTTTTTCAGGGATAATCTCGTACACTTTCATCAATCTCATTCTCATTTCTTATTTGGTGAGTCTCACACATTTATTGCAATTACTTTTCTACTTTTACACTTACTCCTTCGTGATTACGAGACCCATAACTTTTTATTTCTGTTTTATACTTTTTTATTTCTTTTTCATTTATACTACTGATATTTTTTTAGTAAAAATGTATATCTTTTACGAGTTGTTGTGATATTATTATAAAATATTAAATTTACATTTAAAATTTAAAATTTAATTTAATTTTGTTTTTATTAGTTCTTTCATCAGCATTAATTAACTGTGTTTTATTTCTTTCTTCAAATATATATATATATATATATATATATATTACGTTGACATATCGTTCGACATGTCAACATATCGAGGTGCTTGACATTGACACAGGAGCGGGGGAGAAAATCGTTTTTCACCCATGTCTTGGACATGTCGACTAATTTCTTCTTTCCTTTGCTTCTTCTTCTTCCTATTATCAATCTGTTTTGATTTTGGTTCTTTTTTCTTCTTTTTCCTACTACAATCATATAATCTTTTACAACCTCGATGATTATAATTTTAATCTTTTCAACATAACCTTTGCATTTTAATCTAAACATTTGGTAATGAGATCATTAGGAATATAAGATTCAGAATTTAGTTTCTATTGTTCTTTTAGAATAGTTGACTATTTCTCTAGTCTCTTCCATTATAGAAATTCACTTATAAATGAGATAATTACCAATTTTGTTTCAAAATATATTTCAAATTAACTCATATTTTTTTACTTCTTTTTCCCCACTTTTGTTTTCAAATTTAAATTTACACAATTTTCAAACATATTTTCAAATCAACCACCCATTCAACTTTCCAATCATGATTTTGAAAAGTTCAAGTATGTAACTAAAGACTAGATTGGATTAGAAATTATCAATAAAACATAATCAAGCAACAATGTACTTTAATTTAATAATTCAAATAATTTCCATGTATGTATACAAGAATTTGTTCCAACGTTTTCATTGTGACGACATTTCCATGAGTAATATTACTTATATATTTAAATATGATGGTTAAAAGTGAACAATTATAGGCAAATTAGTTGTACTAAAAAAATTATAGGCAAATTAAGCTACAATTAAAGTTTACTTTACTTATTCAAATAATTTCCATCCATCTCCATTAAAAAAAAATCATACTTGGACATTTCCATCGATGTTGACATTTTTATAAGTAAGATGGTCATATTCTTACGTATAATGGTTAAAAGTGATCAGTTATATATTAATTAAGTTACAATCCAAGTTTTATTTACTAATTCAAAAAATTTCCATCAATTTCCATAATTTTTCCTCAAATTTCCATCGACATCGACATGTCCGTTCAATTGATGTCCATTGACATGTCCGTACAATTGGGATCTCGACATTTCGAACCTTGATTACCATATTAGTTGGTTAGTATGTTACATTTCAACTTCTATTTAATTTATAACTGTAATTTGGTCTAAGTATATTTATTAGACGCCAAAGTGAGCATAGCTCAATGTAATTGGTATGGGTATAATTTTTTATGTTTCTACGAATTAATTAAAAAAAATTATAACCTACTTTTAATTATAATTATTGTTAAACCGTAACTCATATATTACTGTGGTTAATTCCTCTAAACCATGGTTACTTCGATTCCATATTTTGTAATAACTACTCTTAAAAAGGGTTTTAGTGGGTTAGGTAGTTTTTGTAAAGTTCTACTACCCAACTTCTTCATCTCTCCCTYTTGACCAATTCCTTGTGAGCAAGAATTAGATGATGATTCTTGTTTTTTAATAGTTTTTTGAACAGTGAATAATAATCTCTCTCTGGCTTCTAAAGTAGATGCAGGCATCTCGTCGGACTACTATAAACGAATTGTGTTCTTTTTTCTCTTCCTTCTACACTTCTTGTTGATCTGGTGATTACAGTATCAATAAAGTATTATGTATTCTGGACTATTTACTCAACAATTAATAAAAAATTTCAAAAGTTTTGTAACTATCATCTTCTACAACTATATAAAGAGATTTTTCTTACTATTTCTCCCAACTTTTTTCTCACCAAAACTTGAGCATTCTTTATCCTATGGTATGTTTTTCTCCTTTAGTCAATGTCTTGTGTTTTTTTTTTATATTTTAACTAGATTGTTTGATCTAATGCATTTAACTTTTAGTTTTTCTTTTAATACAATATTAATACTTGTAATTTCAAATAATACTTGATTACTTAAAATATATAAGTAATTTATTCAATGACGTACTTGTGTTTTTTTCTATGTGTTATTCTATTTTTCAATGACTCAAATAAGAAATCAAAACAAACTTTTATTTCCTAGCATGGAGGATCGAACATTCGAACCTTGAAAAAAGAGTATATATCAATAATTATCATTGAGGTATATCCATGTTAGCAATTTTCAACTTTCAACCATTTATAAAGAAGATTATTGATACTCCAACTAATTTAATCATACACATGTGAGGCGTTTCAAAACCTATTTAGTGAGAGGGGGATTTATATGGAAAAGTGAATTATTTTATAGAAGATTAATAGCTCATTATTACTTAAAAATGAGTGATTAATTAGGAGAGCATTATGAAAAAGAAAATTTAATGGAAGACTAATAACTCATTACGAATGCTATTTTGTAATACTCTTTTAGAATATAAACGTTCTCATTCTAAGTACATTTCAACCGACTAAACATAAATAACTTCTCTTAGTCAACCTAAACATAATTTAACTCGTTAAAATATATATCTTCAATTCAAAAGTTGAAATTTCGAATCCTTACTACCACATATTGTTGAACTAACAAAAAATAATAATAATAATAATAATTTTCCTTAAAAGTCAGATATTTAACGAGGAGGTGAAAATATGAAAAAAAGAAATTGAAATGAAAAGCGTCCTGACCAAATAGTCGAATCCATACGCCTTCCTAAATTCCTACCCTACAACGAACTCAAAATACATACTAATAATTAACCTCTACCTCTACCCAAGAGAAAAATATAGTTCTTTCACATTAATAACTGTCGCTTTAAATGTCAACATTTCAAGAAAGCTTATAAAAATACTTCAAAATTTACACTGGGAGGGTAATATTGAAAACTGTAGAGCGTGTTTGATAATTTTTTGAAAATTTCCGGATTAGGCCCATATGGCAATGAATGCGGCCCAATTGCTTGTACGAACGACGATCCATAAGATGACCCAAATTTCAACTTTTGGGCCCAGGGACGAACGGAAGGCCGAAAGAGTCTTCCAGAAGCGGAGATAAATCTCTGGAAATCGAAATGAGAGCTCGCGATTCTTCAGATAAGAATCTGTGAACACAGGGAGAAGAACCAGAAGCAGAAGAAGAAGAAGAAGATGCCGTGCCTTAACGTTTCCACCAATGTCAACCTCGATGGTATGGACACCTCCTCCGTTCTCTCCGAGGCTTCATCCACCGTTGCCGAGATCATCGGCAAACCAGAGGCTGTAGGGTTCTATTTTGTATCTCTCTCTTATGATAATTGTCTTTGAGGAGTCGTCGTTTGTTTTGTTATCGGATCGTTTCTTTAATTCGTTTTATCCTCTCTTAGTTTCTCAGATTTCAGAGTGCTCATTTCTCCGTGATTTAGTATAGGAGGAATTTGCTTGAGTTTGCATGCATTTGTAAATTGTCTATCAACTGATCAAGGCCGGTTGGTTGTTTACTTTAGTGGCTCACTATTCGACTTTGGACCGATTCATGAAGTATTGACCAATTTGACATCTTAGATTGGCCATGGCATGGAATGAGCTATTATCATTGTTTTTTAGATGGTGTTTTTAGGGTTCTCCGATCTTTGGTAAGATGGAAGTTGGAATATTGCTATTACTACTTGTATTGATCTATGGTTTTATAATTTCATGTTGATCTGTTCCAGCTACTCTTTATTACCAACTAGTTAGAGTTTTTATTATCTTTTTTTAGTAGTATAAGTGCTCGATCATAGAATTATAGCAAGTTAAAACTCGGAATTTTGGTTATCCTTGTGGTAGTCCTGTCTTCGTGTTATTCAAGTAACATTCTATTGGATCCATTGGAATTGGATTACATTGTCTTAAGTAACACCTCTTCGGTATGAACACTTTGCACCCTAGACAGAACTTTTGCGAATATTACTGTGTGATTAGAGCAACCGGAAGCATTGCTGTTTGTGGACAATGAGATCTGTGTACTCATTTGCTAATTGGTGGTGAAGGGCTTTTGTCTCTGAATCGAGGAATGAAATGTTTTGGACTGTAACTGTATGTTTTTCCCCTTCTCCTGAGTACGAATGAAGTTTTCAATTTTTTCTGTTTTCTCCCTCTCATTCAGACTAGATTAGTTAATAAACCTGATCTTTATTCATCCTGGGCACTGTACCTCTTGCAGTTTAGCTCTAGCCAAGCTGCAAAGCATCGTCTGTCTTTATGGACGATGTTTGAGTCCAGTTGTTATTAAATTCTCATAGCTCATCCCTATATGTGGTCTGTGGATGAGATTTCTGGAAATTGTCTGCTTATTTGCCAATAGTTTTGTTTTTGCTCAATTCGTTCTTCTTGTGTTTTAACTTGATCATCTTGCTGCAAGCAGTATGTGATGGTTGTGCTGAAGGGATCAGTACCCATGTCATTTGGTGGCAGTGAGCAGCCAGCAGCTTATGGTGAGTTGGTGTCCATTGGTGGCCTGAACCCTGATGTCAACAAAAAACTGAGCGCTGCAGTTTCTGATATTCTCGAGACCAAGTTGTCCGTGCCCAAGTCAAGATTCTTCCTCAAATTTTACGACACTAAGGTAAGCCATTCCAACTTTCTAATTGGTCACGGAGATGGATGGGTTAATGCATGTGGTCATTTCTCATTGCATCTTTTATTTTTGTTTAGGCCCATCAGAGTCAAGAATATGCACAGTGTTTACATGCTTTACACCAGAACTAGAGATCATGTAACAAAATCTTTTCTATTTGAAACAAATGTGCACAGTGCTGCTGGTTTTTTTTTTTTTTTTTTTTGCAAACATTTGGATCACTCTTAGTATTTAACAGTTGCTTCGCTTTTATGACCTATGCGGAAACTGGGATGGTACTGATACATTTGTTCTTTTGGTCTGCTGCAGGGTTCCAACTTTGGATGGAATGGCTCCACTTTCTAGTTTTTCCATTCAGCTTGCAGCTGTAATGTCTTGAACCTCTCAACTCTTAATATTGTTAACACTTGCTATTGTATGGAGTATTATCTAGATTTTCTGTGGCTTGTGGTTATGAATGATGATCATGGGGAGATGCTTTTTGCCTGCAGCCCTTGCTATGATGTATTTGGTGAGTAATCAACTGGGAAGAAGTTTTCATATATAGAATATGGCCAGATTTTTCATTTCTCTCTCTGACTTAGTCTGGCATTTGCTGGAATATGCCTAGAATTGTGTCCTCTTATCCATTTTGTTAAAGAGATTTAGATCTTATTTCGGTCTTGAACTTATTTTTGTCGAGTTAACTGTTTTTTGAGCGCAGGAAATAGAGGAAAATATTAGAAAGTTGGAATAATTCAAACAGAAGATTGAAAATCCTTTTTGGGCCTGTACTTTTAAAAATCCCCTGCTTTGATACCTTCTCAGTTCTCAGCCATATTCTATCACAAATTCTATTCCCAAAAGTTAATGAATGCGTACAAAAGACAGAGGATGTAAATGGATTTTAAATTTAAATTTATCTATTGGGTTAGCAATTGGCATGAAGAAGAAAAATTACTGGATTCACAATTAACGTTGGTGATGAGAGAGAAACGTTTTTAGTCGACAAAATTAAAATTTATGTTCGGATACTATGATTTTGGTTTATTTTGATTTCTTTCCGACCATTTTTGTTAGTTCTTACCCTCTAGATTTCTTGGTTATAAAAATGAAAAAAAAAATTGTAGAAAATATTTAAATTAACAAACCAACATTTCTCCATTTCTAAATTTTCTAATAATTGATATTGATATTATTGTTATATTAGTGATATTTTATTGGTATTTTTTCATAATTTGTTGATGCTTTTTCCCATGTCGGAGGGAGCATAGTATACCCCCACACGTGTGAGGAATTTAGGTGAAATAATGTTGAATATAATGTAATCTACTATTGGTCTTTGTTCTTGATATTGGCTTGTGGTTAACGCCAACGGAGATCCCCATAACCACAAAATTATAAACCCTGATTCTGCCCTATCCCCACCCGCTTCACTTTCCCATCATCCAAACACCATAATCCAGATGCCCTGCTTGAACATCTCAACCAACGTCAATCTCGACGCCGTCGACATCTCCTCACTACACTCCGACGCCACCGCCGCCGTCGCCGCCCTCCTCCGGCGCCCCGAGGCGGTACACTCCCCGATCTTCTCCTTCTTCTTCTTCACCACGACTCTGCTCTTACATCTTTTACGATTTTGCCCTAATTTTATGTTGTCGTTTCTCTAATTCTACAGCACGTCATGGTTGTTCTCAAGGGATCCGTTTCGATTACATTCGGCGGCAGCGCCGATCCTGCCGCCCACGCCGAATTGATGTCCGTCGGCGGTTTTAGTCCCGATGTTAACCAACGCCTCTCCGCTGCCATTGCCGCCATTCTTGAAGCCAAGCTTTCCGTCCCTAAACACAGATTCATCCTCAAATTTTACGACGTCAAGGTAAAATTAAAGTTAATTCAATCTGCCTAACCTTCCAATTTTCGCTCTAAACTTTTTTTGTGATGCCAATTTTGCAGGGCTCTGATTGTGGATGGAACGGCTCCACCTGCTAAGGCAAGATTCTGTTATATGCAGCTTTAATTTCATCTCGATTTCATCGGCTACCCAATTTTAGTAAACTGCTGTCTAACAAAAAAGAGATCCAATACAAAAATTGATAATATTTCCTGATTTGGTTGGCTTAAGCTCATCTTAAATTGAAGTAGGCATCCAATTGTTGGGGCAGAAATCAACCCACACGCTTCTCTCCCACGTATATAGGAGAAACCAGAAACCGATTTTTCGGGAATTCCGGTGGGCGGCTCCTGTGACAGTCCCGATTTTCCGGCAATCCCACAGTTTCCGGCCATTTATATCGCACTCCCAAACCAATACCCTTCCCATGTTTCCCACAATGCCGTCGTCTTCTCCGGCCATCCTCCCAGTCTCCAATAATCCCCAATCCCAAATC